AGTTTTATCAGATTTTCCACGTAGATATATCCGCCATAGCTCGTGATCTTGGGTGGTCGACTTGGATCTACAATCCAAATTTCAGCTTTCTAGCTCTTCAACTAATATGATTTCTGGTATATCGGAAAATGCATTTTCCGATTTGCCACGCCCCTAGTGGGCGGATCGGGAAAATTTTAACACTTTATAATTCGGAGATATATTTATATATTTTGTTCAGGCGAAGGCAAAGAATCGTCAGAATTTGCAAAGCAATTTTTGGAGCGACGTAGCAAATATAAGAGCTTGCAGCGTGCTCAAAACGCACATAATGATGATATGTGTAAGCCTGCTCCGGCTATAACGCCATCGTGTAATGATAATGGAGACAACAAGGTAATACGATGTGTTTTAAAAATTGATATACATTTTTAAAAAGTATTTATTATGTGTCTATTTGCAGAACAAACAAAGAAAAGTTAAGAAAAATAAGATGACTAAAATGGATGCTCGTATTCTGGGCTTCTCGGTAACAGCTGCTGAAGGTCGCATTAATGTTGGAGGTCGCGATTATGTTGACGGGCCGTAACCTTGAGAAAAACTGTTTATATCAAAAAGAACAGTTATTAGATATAGAATTGAAATTGAAAACAGGTCACAATTGGATGTGCTAATAAATCTGTTATAAATAAAAGCGCATTTTATATATTTATCAACAGATCCAAGCTGTCAATACACATGCATATAGCTCATATCTATAAATATGATTATACTGTTGTATAAATTTTTTTTTTAATTGATTCTATTAATTGATTCTATTAACTTTATAACATTTTAAGGTCCTGAGCCCATTGAAAATGGAATATTAAGGCATAATTGTTTTGCAAAAATGTATGTCTCTAACTCATAGCTTCTGATATCTCGGCGCTGATACGGACAGACGGTGCGGTCTGCTATGCTTTCTTCTGCCTTTTACATACACTTTCATAAAAACAATATACCCTGATTTCCGATTTAGAAAGTTTGATGAAGGTAGTCTCCCAACAAATATGTGCTCATAGTATAGCCAATGCGAAGTCGCAGGTGACTGCGAAATTAATAGATCGCGTGCTTATACGGGCTTGTGGATACATTTGGACATATGTATGTGCATGTTTTTGTATGTGTGTATAACCCTTTGCAGGGTTCAGGGCGCCTCCTAGTCGAGCAGTCTCTACTAGATCAATCTTACTTATTTTATTTAGTTAAAAATTTTAAATATTACAGATTTACTTTGAATGTTAATGGCACGCGTACTGAAAAGTCCTAAAAAAAATCGAAGCACAATATTTCTTTATACATACGTACATACATGCATATCTAAACGTGTTCATTTCAAAGCGTGAACGAGTAGCTGGGCTGCTTTCCAGTACTTTTTCCACTATTTTTTTTTTTTTGTTGCTAAACGTTTTACGTTGCCGTGCTACTCTTGTAAAGTCTTAGAGTCCGTCGGGCCATGCTTTGGGTCGGAACTTCATTCCAGATACTTTTGCTGCGGTCTGCGCTTGTTGCTAAATGTATGTACATATGTATAGTAGAAGTAACATAGTTCTGTGTACACATACATATACTTATATAGCCAACTTGTATACGTATTTGGTTTGAGCAAGCGATACTAAGATGAAGTAGAAAATCTGTTAAATTAACGATTCAATTAAATTTTAGTTAATAGACGATTCAAATGCAAGGCTTATTCATATCAGACACATAAAGTATGTATATATGTTCATATATAGATAAAGGATTTTCGATATATGCATGGAGAGAGAGTGTGAGAGTGGGAGGGAGAGGGAAAGAGAAAGAGTCACTGTATAAATGCGTCTTTGTAAGCAATAACATTGGCGAATTGAAAAGCGAGTCGCAACTTTCCAGCCGAATGATTGCGGGACTTACATGGGGTGGGTAACGCATAGACCCGTCCTTCGGCAATAAACGCTGCGTGTGCGAATGAGAAGAAGGAAGAGGGGATGTAGGGAGATGGGAGGTTAAAAATGAACAATGGATTGTCGTTTTGTTCTGTTGGCTTGTGACATGTTCGCGCCTTTGTTGCGACTGTTATTATTTGGTCTTTCTCGAGTGCATTTGTAAACCCAAACTGTATACATTGTGCAATCCAATAAACAAATTAACAACTTTTGTTCTTTTCCACTGGAGTGTCACATAATATAACACAGCATTAACTTTAAATTGAGACACAGCACGGGACATGTCCGAAGACAGCATACTCTTTAATATTATTATTACATTATTTAATGTAATAAACATTTTGCAGTAGATAATACTAATTCATAGTTTAACAAGTAAGAAAAAAAAAAAAAAAAAAAA